ACTCTATCAATAACATACCTGAATGAACATTTAGTCACTCTCTTGTGATGCAAAGGAACTCCAAGGTATTTGCCAAGGTCAGATGTGATTCCAACACCCAGAGTTTTACTAATTTCTCTGGCCCTACCACAACTAACATTCTTAGAAAAATACACCCTTGTTTTCTCACTACTCATCTTCTGACCAGAAGCTTCATTGAAGATTTTCAACACTTGATTGATAACCTGAGCTTGCTTAAGACTAGCCTCCGCACAAAGAATAATATCGTCAGCAAAGAACAAGTGAGAGATAAGGGGGGCATCCTTCCTAAGCTTGATAGGGCTCCAAGCCTTTGTTTCAACAGCCACATTAATGAGATGTGCCAGCCTCTCTATGCATAGAACAAAAAGGTAAGGGGAAATGGGATCCCCTTGCCTTATTCCTCTTCCCGGATTAATAGTCCTAGTAGAGACTTCATTCCACAACAAACTCATGGATGCAGAGGAAATACAACTATAAATCAGTTGAGTAATGGACTCCGGTAATCCAATATCCTTCAAGGTCTCCAAGATGAAACCCCAGCTTAACCGATCATAAGCCTTCCAAATCTGCTTTGATCATCATCCACCCTTTGCACCCTTTCTTGTCCCTCATAGAATGAATGATCTCTTGGGCTATAATGATATTATCAGCTCCTTGTCTACCTTTAATGAAACTACACTGATTCGGAGAAACAATCCTAGGCATCAAATTCCTAAGTCTCTCAGCAATTATCTTAGTGACAGTCTTGTAAGTAACATTGCATAGGCTGATTGGTCTAAAATCTCTCATATCAGAAGGACTATCTTTCTTCGGTATCAGACAAATAAGGGTACCATTGATATCCTTTACTTTCTCAGGATTGATAAAAATCTCCTCTATTAACTTGCAAACTGACTCACCAACAATCTCCCATTGACTTTGAAAAAATAAGGCATTTAACCCATCAGGTCCTGGGGCTTTAAACTTGCCCATCCTAAATATAGTTTTCCTAATCTCCTCCTTGCTGGGTTTCCTGGACAGGGCTGCTTTCTCTTCAAGAGATAGACTAGGGAAAGCTGCCTGAATGGGAAAAACCCCATCCCCCTCTTCCTCAACATTAAACAAGTGCTGATAGAAGGAAGCAGCCATATTAACCAACTCCTCTGTCTTTGTAATCCAGATCCCCTGGTCGTTCTGGAGGGAGACAATTCTGTTATGTCTTCTTCTGGCAACCGTAGAAGAATGGAAGAATTTGGAGTTCTTATCTCCATACTTCAACCACCGGACCCTGGATCTTTGAAACCAAGTAATTTCCTCCTTGACAAGGATTGATTGGAGCTCCTTCCACAGTCTCCTCTGAAGAATTTCCACATTGTGATCATAAAAACCAGAATTATAACTTTCCAGCCCTTTCATCCGAGAGTAAATCCTGTTTTTCTGCAAGATATTCCTCCTGTACACATTAAGATGCCAGCTCCTAGCTTCCACTTCAAACTTCCTGCTAGCTGGAATCCACCCCTCAGCATGACCCCAATGTTTCCTGACCAGATTACCAAAGTCCTGCTCCAAGAGCCAAGCTGCCATAAACTTAAAATTCTTATGAAATACATGAGGTTTGGACTGCCCCTCATTATAGAGGAGAATGGGTCTGTGATCTGAATCAAAAAAAGGAAGATGAGAAACAAAACTGTTAGGCCAAGAGATGCACCACTCCTCATTGGCACACGCTCTATCCAACCTTTCATGTAATCTTCCACGTTTCCAGGTGAAATCCGGACCTTTGTATCCCAGATCATTAACATTACAATTGAGTAAACAGTGCTGCATATCAGAGACTCCATTCCAACACACCTCCTTCCCTCCTATCTTCTCAGAACCATTCATGACAGAATTGAAGTCTCCCAAAAGGAGCCAAGGCCCATCAACCGAAAGACTAATGGAAAGCAAACCATCCCAAAGGATCTTCCTCTCAATCCTCCTAGGGCTAGCATAAACAAAAGTGACTAGGTCCACTACCAAGGACCTCAGGTGCTGAATTCTAGTATGCACATACTGTTGATGAGCTTCCAGAATCTCAATTTTCACCTCTTTATCATCCCAAAGTAACCACACACCTCCAGAAAATCCAACCGGATCCTGCTTAAAATAATTGGGAAACCCCAACTGCTTGATGATCTTCTCACTTCTCGAGCCTCCAATTCTGACTTCTAACAATGCCAAGATATTGACTTTAAACCTGTATTTCAAATCTCTAATGAGGGAAGGGAAGCATTTCTTCCCTACCCCTCTACAATTCCAAGATAAAAAGGACATAAAACTAAAGAAGAAAAACCAAACAGCAAAAAAAAGGCCCAGGGACCTTACCACAGGGATTAATGAGAAAAAGGCCCCTCCACCATCATGAGGGTCTTTTCAAGCTCCATAACAGATTGATCAGAGGATAATAAACCAAAAGGATTCGGATTAACACCACCCTGCCCTTTCCTAGCATTTAGGCTATCTCCTTCCTCAACACAGAGCTTAACATCCGGAGCTGATGTGCCTCTAGTTCTACTCTTGCTCAGACCCTTACTACTCCCACCCAAGGTTGAATTAGGTGGGATATTCTCCACATCAGTCTTTTTACCCACTGCCTTGGACCTGTAACATCACCCTCTTGCATAGCACAGGGCCCTTTGTCCACTGGACATTGGTCTTTCCTGTGACCATATAGCCCACATTGGAAACAAATGAGATGAAGGCCCTCATAGCCCACAGGATACACCTTAGTCCCCATCACAAACTTGGATAAGAAGCTCTTTCTAAGATCCACTTCAACGCATATTCGTGCAAATTTACCTCTTTCAGTAATAAATCCCTCACCAACATCACTCTTTCGAAGGGAACTTCTGTCTACTTTGAGGGTTCTACCAAAGAAATTCCAAATTCTCCATAGGTGCCTAATTGAATACAGTTCAATAGGCAGACCTGGAATCCTGAACCATACTGTAAGCTTCCTGCAGTCTTCATCATAAGGATCAAAGAAAGGCCTCCACCGCTGAACGATCACATAGTGATCATTCACTATCCAAGGACCCTCCTCCAGAACATTCCGGTAATCACCATCATCACGAAAGCGCAGCAAGAGATGACCATTATCAAGATCAATGAGTTCATAGGTACTAACCAGATTCCACAGCCGCCGCAGTCGTGACATAAGGAACCTGACCCCAATCCGTTTACCTAGCATCTTGATAATTAATGCTTTCTTCCATTGCTCGCAGTCCGCTTTATGCTCTTCCACTGAGATCGTATATCTCGGGCATATAGGATCATCAGGAAGATCCGACGTCAATCCCTCCAACAGATCAGCCTCTTCCTGCTCTTTCTTTTGCTTGGTGACCCAGTCATCTTCCTCAAAATAAGGCAGACCACCTTGACCATTTAACCGTAGCAATTTGTCCCTATAGGAAATCACTTTGGGAGGGGTTTTTCCTTTGGGGGCCACCCCTGCCCCTACCGGACTAGCAGGGGAACCCCGAACAAGTCGCACAACACCTTCTCCTTTCTCCAGCATCACCTCGTCCATGGTGAGATCAGTCATCTCAACCCCTTTAGCCTTCTTCTCACACCGAATGTCTACCTCTTCTTCAGCAAAGTTACGTCCTCTCGAACCCTTAGTCCCGTCCTCCTCCATCGAAACCAGCAACGTCTCTTCTCCATCAGCCATCGAAATTGTAGATCGCGAAACGAAACCCTAGCAGAGCCAAATAAATCGTGCGCGTTTACATTCTTGTAACCCTACCCATTCTTTAGCTTAATTGAATTCTTGTTCTTTGTGTTTTTGTCCACTTGGAAATGTATAAGCGATTTTTCGTTAGAGTTTCGTTACAAGTTTAATTTTAAGTCTAGTCAACTCTTAATTAATGATTACTTAGATTTAATTTTCTGGAAAGGAATTGAATGTGATTTTCTAATGAAAGATGTGTGGAAATATTAAGAGTTAATCTTCCTTTGTGAATATAGTAATATGTTCATTACACGAATCCAAAAATTTGAGATAAACATTTGCTTAAACAAATTCTGGTTTATGAATAACTCGGAAGTAGTTACGACACAATGCTTGAATGTTGGGAAACAAGAGTTGCTGGAGTGATCTGGATAATTATTTTGAATTGTTGTAACAAAAGTGAGTTTTGCATCTCGTACGTGTGTTTCCGTGGATATGCAATTTTAAATGAATAGAATCTATTAATTCATTATCTGTACTCATTGTTAGATTACTCTGAATTATTAACTTGCATAACTTATATTTCTTTCAATTTCAATTCACAATTGATTCATTGGTTCCTTTCCTTACATTTTACTTCCAATTCACATAGTTTTATTGTCTAATTTTCTCCGAGGGGACGATATCCTTCTCATTCTGTATCACTTAATCGATAGTGTATATTTGCACAATTGTGTTCATAAATTTGATTGATATATACACTTAAGAGCACAAACAGTACACACAAGTATATTTATACCATTTATTAGGTGCATCACTTATACATGTCAGTGTGGTTATCTGCTATCTAACTCTAGAAGAAATTTATAATTGTTATGATGAAAATTAAGAGTCTTTATGACAACAATTTTGTTCTCTCAACACCGTTCTTGAAAAAAGAAATTTTTATTGTTTTTATACCTAAAGGCTTAAATTGGGCAATTGAAGATGATGAAATCTTAAAAGTTAGAGTTAACATACAAAAAGAGCCAACTCGAACAAGAAGTCAGTCAATTCAAATATTGATTAGATATAAGCTGCTGAAATTAAAAAGGAGTTACCTCAATGCAATCTCGAGTTAATGAAATAGGTATGCAATTGTATGGAATTTGCAATAGTTATGCAACAGTTATTAAATTTGTGATTTGTCATGTGTGGAGAATTTCTTAGGACTACAAATGCATAAATCTTCAAAAGTTCTGCATAGCTTTTTATATAAAATTTAATAACTGGTGCAAAAGTTTTAGTTCCCTCATGCAACCCTCAAACTTTTCCATTTAAGAACCAACTGTGTTAGGGTCCTCATTGAAGATCCATCTTCCTTCACAGCATCAGCAGCAGCACCTTTCAACTTTTTCATTCTTTGTTGAATTCCCTTACCTTCTTCACCTACCATTAGATTCTTAATGACCTCAGCTATCTCTTCCCTTTCCACTATACCCTTCTCATTAACTTTAGGCCTAAGAGCCACTTTCAAACCGTTAGTTAGCAAAACTGCATTCATCTTTTGCTCAGCAAAGAGTGGCCACGCTATTAGGGGAATACCATGAAAAACACTTTCAAGCGTGGAATTCCAACCACAATGGCATAGAAACCCACCAATTGCCTTATGACCAAGGATTTGAGTCTGGGGTGCCCAATAAGGAACTACCAAACCTTGCCCTTTTGTTCTCTTCAAAAACCCATTTGGTAAAAATTGAAAAGGATCCTCCTTTACAGCACCAGCATCAGCAACAATGCCAAATTTATTAGGTGGCCTTAATACCCACAAGAATTTTTGACCACTCAATTCCAATCCCCTAGCAAGCTCATTTATTTGATCATTAGAAAGTGTCCCACCACTTCCAAATGAAACATGCAAGATTGAATTGTCTTGCTGCTTATCCAACCATCTCATGTATTCTGTGCTACTTCCTTGACCACATGATCCATTCTGCACAAAAGGTCCTATTGCATAAACATAAGGGATTCCTTTACCCTCTTGTTGTTGCAAGAATTTTATGGTCCCTTCTTCCATATCAAGGAAACTATTAACCAATACACCATCAGCTAAATAGAACCTTTCATTAGCTTCAAGAAACAGCTTGTATTCTTCACTAGATCGATCTTGAAGTGGGTCAGGGAGATCTGTGCCATGAATTGGAATGCAACCAGGTATCTCTATAGGCTCTAATAGGTCTTTGAACTCGGAAGAAATTGTCTTGTCCAACATGGAAGAGTACAAGCAGAGTGATAGTAACATGGCTGTGGATGGGAAATATGTATAAGACAAGATATTAAAATCCTTGGCAAATGGTAGCACATCAGTTATTAAACCATCAGCAACAAGTGCAACAAGTTTTGATCTAGAATGTAGTGTTTTCAAAGCATCATAAATTGAAGGCAGAGAACGGGAGATTGTGAATTGAACTTGGATTGCAGGGTGAATCTCTTGTGGGAGGTCCTCCAAATTTACCGGTGAAAGGAACATGTAGTCTATGTTTGATGGAAGAGCTTCAAAAAGGGCTTTGGTGTTATTGCAAGGAGAACCAAACGTGGGATTGATGCATGTGACATGAAGGTCTTTGTGGAGATGCACAAGTTTCTTGGTGAACTCAAGAATTGAGCGTAGATGGCTGTATACTGGAACTGAAACTATGGCTAGGTGAGTTGTGGTCTCCATGAAATTAAGGGTACTTTGATCTCTTAATAATATGAACCTGGTTTATAGAAATATTGATGAATTTATATATATATATGTATGCAACTCACTTGGTTTGAAACCCCTTATAATCTGGAAATACAAACTGAAGGTTTTGAGATTGTACCGCATAGCCACCATAAATTGTTCTTAAGGTGAGTTCCAGTTATCTATCTATCTATCTATATGTATATATAATGTGGAAATTTATTAAAGGGTGTTTGGTTCAAGTTTTTGGAGAGGATTACCGGTAATCCTTCTTTGGTAAATGTAATTACCACGTTTGGTAGAAGGAATAAATTACGATTCCCGGATATCCAAGGATTACCGGTAATTTGATTTATAAAGAAAAGTCACTATTCAGATTACCAAAAATAATATGGTAATTCGGAATACCAATCAGAATACCAAGTAAAGGGAAAGCACAACAATAAATTTTGAGACAAAAATACTCCAATACACATAAAAATCTAGACCCAATCTATCAATTATAAAAGTAAAAATAGTTTGGGGTTATTTTTGTAAAATAACCTCATATTCCAAGTCATATTTCGTTCTAAACCAAATATGGAATCAGTAATTTTTACCCAGTATTCCCGGTAATATTTTGGCGAACCAAACACATCTTTCGTAAGATTCCAAGTAAACTCAATTTCTACTGAATTCTCATTAATCATGATTCCCGGTCACCAAATTTTTTTTCCTGTACCAAACACATCCTAAAGGTTAAGTTACATTTTCATTTCAGTTCTTGTTTTACGAGAGATAATATAACGTCAAATTACATGCGTTTGTTATAATCTTCAATTGAGTTTTAAAACTGTAAAATTATGCCATAAATCATTAATAAATTAGTAACTTAAACAGAAACAGTACTGGAACAGGCAAGCTGTAGAAAAAGTTTAAATTAATTAGTTCATTATATATAAAAAAAGAAAGGTCATACATAATAGTTATTCGAAACATACCATAACCCTATTAAAATTATTTTGTACCCATCTCCTTTGTCTATCCTCTTGAAGAATTAAATAATAATAAAAATAAAAATAATATATTAATAATAATAATAAGACCACGAGAAAGGTGAGGTGTTGATGTATGGGCAACAAACAATATTATTTACAGGAAGTTACTTAGCTAGTTTATTCAATGAATGACTTTGTTAACTTTATACTAATTAACTTTCAAGAAAAAATTAATGTAAGCAATTAGTGCTGATGAACATCATCTTTATTCCAAACTAATTTGGATCGATGACAGATGAACTCAAATGAAAAGTATAAAAAAATTAAAAGAACTATAAATAACAGTAAAAATGAAAACATTGCATTAAACAATTCAGAAAAAGAGCAAAAAAAAATCAAGCGAAATAGATGAAAATAAATAAAATAATAAGAGAAAAGAAATAAAGTGAAAAAATGAAATAAAAGAAAATGAGAATGGAAAAATAGGAGAGATAATGCAAGAAATAAAGAGGCTTTGGTAGAGGAGAAATTTTTTTTAGCAGAAAAATATAATTACTGGAGAAATGGTAGGAAAGTCAGTTTGATGAAAAAGTTTAAAAATATATGTTTGGTTGACCGAAATATTTCCGGGAAAATTTATTTAAATTTGCAAAATCTATGTTTGAGAGGAATTTTGCACCTGTTTTTCTACTTCTCCAGTTATCTCAAAATACCATATCTCAAGTGGTATTTTGTAACAATGAATCTCATCCAAAAATCAACACCAAAGTAGTTTCCTAGCCTTCCTATTTGCCTAGTATTTTTTTTCAAAAACTTGAAGCAAACATGGTATTTTTTAATATCCACCCACACTTCTCCATCAAACCCAAAATAAAACTTGTACCAAACACACCCTAAAGGTAGATATAAGGAAAAAGGACTAAAAGGAACATCTGAAATATAAGAAAAAATTGGTGCTGATATTTATATTTTTTTAAAGCGAGTGTTTATGATCACTTCTATTTAATCAAGTTGTTTCTCATTTTCTTATATATATATATATATATATATATATATATATATATATATATATATATATAGAAATATTCCAATTGGTTCATCACTTTGCAAATAGTTTTATTTTGAGGAGGATCGAACACAACTCTCACCACCACTTACTTAGTTCTTTAGCACCAACTGAGCTACCATTATTTTAATAATTAAATTTTGAACATAAAAACACTTTTCAACTATCGGTTAGTTTTTTTTTATATTTTTATTTAAGATACCTTAGTCTAGAAATTAAATCAAATAAATATCCTCTATGCCACCCAAAAAAGTCCTTAGAATTACATATATAGGCCATGAAGATAAAATCCATCATTAATTGATTATGTTATTTATTTTTTTGATACAATTTGTAAAGAACCATTTCAACCTAAAAGCTTAAGCTATTAAATGAGGTTATCTTTAATGGTTTATATTATACTCTAACACGCCTCCTCATACGAGATCCCATTGACTTTGAAGGGTGGATAATGCACAGGTCCACCTACATGTGCTAAGAAAATTCCACAAGAGAAAGTGGGGGTGTAAGAACCTGCACCGTTGATTAAGGAAATTAATTAAATAAATATGAGAATTAGGAAATAATTCCATAATTGACCCTAATAATTATGAGAAGACTTGAATAATTATAGAAAGTAATTAATAATGTTGAAAGTCTCTTTTCTTACGAAAAGTGCATATACCGGTTCTGCTCCACGGTATAAGTGCGTACCGATGAACCATCCCGAAAAATTATAATAAGTGTGAGAATATTCTTAGAATAATACCTAAGACTAGTATGTCAAGTTTCAAGTCGGAATAATGAGAACTGGTGTCAGAACTGATATTGGCTATGTAAAAGCGCGTACCGGAAATGTGCTGCGAAAAATAAAATAAAAATATGAAAAATCTTAGAAAAATGAGTAGGTTTTGAATCTCAAGTTTGAGACTAAAACGATAAGCGTAGCTATTAGTGCTAATACTGTGTGGTTAATTAAGTGAACCTATATAAGCCTGAGCGCACAAAACCCTAGGCCATATTGAGGCTGCCTACATTAAGATTTCTGAGTATTCTTCAGCTGCCACCTTCCCTCTTATCTTCCATAGCCCTTTCCTTCTCAAACTCCACCAAAGTGACCACCTTTGTTCATAGTTCCTTTATCAAAGTGGTTTAGGTGAGTGAGAACAAGGCTTGTGTGAGTCAAAGGTCCCTATTTGCTAAGTTTGGTTATGCCCTTGGGTGGTTTGTGTGGGCTGAGTTGGTGTTCCTCTTTGGTGAGAGCCATTTCCTCGCCTTTGGAGTCTTCAAGGAGCCATCTTTGAGTAGAAAGATCCAAGCTTGTGTGGTATTTTCGTGACTTGGAAAAGTCAGTTTTGTGGTGCTGAGTAGAGGACCCTTTTGTGCCTCATTTTCGGAGTTGTGAGCCTTAGAGGTATACCATGATCACCTCTTTGTCATTTTGATGATTTAAGCTTGTTTAATCGGTTAAAAAGTAAAACTTGGACCATTTGAATAAAGGAATGTGTTTCTGAGTTCATAACATGCTAATGAACATCTGTTGAGGGAGTCTTTGGACTCCAAATCACGTTAGAATACTTAGAATGGGAATTATGCAGATGACAGTTCGGATTTCTGCATTCTGGAGGAGAAGTATTCGAATACTTTTCGGGTGGTATTCGAATACTTGTCCTCTGGTAGTCGAATACTCCTTGCAGGAGTATTGAGATACTTTTCTGGGAAGAAAAGTATTCGGATACCTTTGAGTTAGTATTCAAATACTGGATAGTATTCGAATACTATAGTGTTTGTATTCGGATACCTTGTGGTATTCGAATACTTTAGTGAAAGTAATCGAATAATTTCTGGAGACAGGGAGTATTCGAATACTCATCGAGGAGTATTCGAATACCTCCTGCAGAAACTGCCTAAAATGACTTAAAATGAGATGGAAAGCCTTAATCACTAAATGTAACCTTGGTAAATGGTTATTGATGATTATTTACTATATAAACAGATTGTGATTGTGCTATTTGTGGGCTTTGAGCTAGTGTGACCTCTTGGTTGGACTCTTGGCTTGGATAGTAAGCTTACAAGGTAAGCTTTCGTGTCCTCGATTTAGCCATTGTGTGGTTCCACCATACCCCATGAGGGGATGATTTAAATGCATGATGTGTATACATGCTTTGATAATTGAAAATGTTGTTGAGCTTTATGTGCAATGACTTATAATATGTATGTGTTGTTCCACTTAGACGGTAAGCCTGAGCATGTGGTGTCATACAAGATGGTGACACTGTGAGTGGGTGCAAGTGGCGTCTTGCACTAGTGTGGGTAATAGACGCATTCCTGCATTTCTCTGTCAGTAGATTAGTTATAACACACATGACATGATTATCTGCTGCATTGCACTGATTTGGAACTGATATTGAATTACTGCTTTTAGAACTTATATCGCACATGCAAGTGAGCTTGGGGTGGAAGATCCTTGAGGACCCCTTGTCTTACTGAGATTTCTATTTAGAGATCTCACCCCACGTTTGGGGCACATATTTCAGGTTCAGGAAATGCGGGGGTTGAGACCTCTAGCGGCAGGAGGCCGGAGCTTAGCTGATTTATATGTTGTTTTGCTGCTTATGTTGGATGCTGGATTATGCCTGTTGCTATTATGCTTTTAGTTTCTTGTTATGTTATTGAATTGAGACTTGGTTGGGCCTTGTTGCCTTATTTGGTGAGCATGGGGATTGTCCATGTCACATTTGATTATGTATCGTTGTTTAGATTTGAGTGTATAAACTATCAGGATTGTCCGGCTTACGTGTTGTAGTGCCGTGACTAGAGACTCAGTTAATGATCTTATTTATGATATGAGGTTATCCAGTATAGATATCTGTCTTTTGCATTTACATACAGGCAATGTTTTGGAAATGAATTAAGTAATTCAACTTGGTAATGATAATGACATCATAATTGAAAAGAAAAAGAATATTTCGCATTTTTAATTAAGCGTGGCTTAATACGATGACATGTTAACAAACCGGGTATACACGAGGTGTTACATGGGGCAGTGAGGATCGAACCCGGGACACGAGGCTCTGATACCATGTAAAGAACCATTTCAACCCAAAAGCTTAAGCTATTAGGTAATGGTCTCTTTAATGGTTTATATTATAGTCTAACACAATTAATTGATTATGTTAAATCATACATCACACGAGTATACCAGAAGTTATTAAAGTATAATTTGAAACGTTGTTGCATTAATGGTGACAATGGAAGCAATCAATTAACTATCACAACACTACTAGAAAAAACTTGTATAGCGACGGAATTGCTATGGAAATTCTGTCGCTAATTTCATCCTCGCTACTATTTTCCGTCACAAATTCCCTCGCAAACGATTTTGCGAAGAAATTTGCGACGAAAAGTAGTATAGAGGATGAAATTAGCGACAGAATTTTCATAACAATTCCGTCGCTATAGAGATTTTTTCTAGTAGTGCAATTAATTGATATTTTTTGTTGATTAATGTGTATCTGTTAAGTTACTAGAACAATTTATGTGGTGCACATCTTGCACATGTGGGATGCGCCCTAGATTGATATTTTTTTTTCTTTTGATAATTTTTTTAAAAAATCATTCTGATATTTTACCCATTTATCTTTTCCCTTGTAATTTATATTTAGTTAAGCTTTTTTTATTAACCTGTCATCTCCTAGTTGGGGGAACCATGGAAGTAGCCTTAGTTTAAGTACATTTTTTCACTAGAAACTCAATCTCTTAACTTTCATTACAAAGATATTTTTTTAATCAAATAAATGTTTTTTTTCCCTTAAACATATCAAAAAGTTTGATGAATTAATGATTTTTTACGGGCAAATTAGCAACATTATTTGAGATGACAAACTGGATGGATAAGTGATGAAAGCGAAACAGAGAAACTTTTATTTAGTAAGGCACGAACCACTAATGACTTTCACATCATGATAAAGTAAAAATTGAAAAACAAGAATTGAACAAAGCAGGATCCTAGCCAAAGGATTTCAGAAAGCCTATTTTCAAAGCAAATTTTTCCAATTGAATGTTGAGTGATGCAGGGTCTTTGTAGAACACCCATCTTCTTTCAATGCATCAATAGCAGCTTCTTTTAATATCTTCATTATTTTGCGCATTTTTCCTCCTTTAACTTCCATCAGATTCATTATCACCTCAGCAACTTCTTCCCTTTCCACAATGCCATTGCCATTAACATTTGGCCTCAGTGCCACTTTCAGATCATCACAAAGCATAACCGCATTCATTCTCTGTTCTGCAAAGAGTGGCCATGCTATAAGTGGCACACCGTGCAGCACACTCTCAAGTGTTGAATTCCAACCGCAGTGACTCAAAAACCCACCAATTGAATTGTGACTAAGAATTTGAATCTGGGGTGCCCATGATGGAATAACCAAGCCTTGCTGTTTAGTTCTCTCCAAGAACCCATATGGTAAAAATTGCAACGGGTTCTCATTTTGGGCACTCAGGTAAGCACCACTACCTGAAGTACTAGGTGCTCTTACAATCCATAAAAATTTATGTTTACTCAATTCTAGACCCAAAGCTAGTTCAATAATTTGGGCTTGTGATAGTGTGCCACCACTCCCAAAAGAAACATACAAAACAGATATAGGTGGTTGTTTGTCTAACCACCTTAGACACTCTAACTCATTAGACTCATCATTGGGCCCAAGCTGTATAATGGGCCCAACAGGATATATAGGAGGTTTGTCACTACCCTCCTTAGTCAATGCTTTTATGGGCCCATTTTCCAATTCAAGGAAACTATTGATGAAGATCCCGTCCACTGAGGAGAATCGCTTAACACGTTGAAGGAATAGTTCATAACCTTGACTTGATCGATCTTGAATTTGGTGATGAAGATCACGGCCATGTAGTGGTACACAACCTGGCATTTGAATAGGTTCTTGAAGATCTTTGAATTCACGTGATGTTTCCTCGTCCAACTTTGGTAGGTAAAAGTACATAGATAGTGTCAAAGCTGACTTAGGGAAGTAAATAAATGACAAGATGTTGAGCTCTTTAGCAAAGTCAAGTGCTTCATAGGCAAAGTTATCAACCACCAAAGCCACAAGGGGTGTCCTTGAAGTCAAGGACTTTAAGGCTTGATGTAAAAGTGGCAAAGAATGTGTCACTGTGAGTTGCATTTTGACTCCAGTTGCAAGCCCTTGTGGTAGGTCATTGGGGTTCACGGGTGGAAGAAATGTTGAGGTTATGTTTGGTGGAAGATTTTCAATAAAGGTTTTTGAGATAGTTGTGGGATTACCAAGTGTGGGAATGATGGCTGTGACATGCAAGTGAGGATGCAGCTGAACAAGTCGTTTAGAGAACTCGAGAATAGGGACTAGATGGCTAAATCCAGGTCCGGGAACAACAGCTATGTGTGTTGTTTTCTCCATGATTTGTTGTTGGGTGGATCTATACAAATCTAAGGGTTGTGGGTGTAGACAATAGATTGATGGCTTTTTATAATGAATCTCATAATTATTCAAATTCGATTTAAAATTCTCTTCATTGGAGAATGCACTTGTACATCTCCACAACTTTTTTTTTAAACAAATATTTACTAGTTCCATTTTTTTCATGTTATTGAAAAAAAATTATCTCGTAAAAAAAATCATGTACTATAAATAGTACATAGTTATAATAGTCAAATTATTATTTTTCTTTTCGTCACGTCAATTGACAATGTCAGAAAGAAAAAAGAGAAAAAAAAATAGTTTTAATATTATAACTATGTATTACCTATAATATATATATATATATATATATATATATATATGTATATATATGGGAAAAATGTTTCTGCAGTTAATGCAGATAAATTATCTGCATTTATTCACAAAACGACGTCGTTTTGGTATTGAAATCTTAAAAAATTATAAATATAACAACTATTATAACCCTGAAATAAATTAAAATTACAAAAACACCATGATTTTCGCCTCAAAACGACGTCGTATTGGCTTACTGCATATAACTTATCTGCAGTAACTGCAGAAAAAGCAAACCCTATATATATATATATTTTTTGAAGGAGAAATTTTTTTTTTCAATAACATAAGAAAATGATTTCTGATATTTATTATACCTTAAATAGTAAATACACTACCTTAATTACCTTATTTTTTTTAGATTCTTGATTTGTGCCATTTACATTGTCCACTATAACACTATTCCCTAATATCCGGTGGTGGAACGAAGGAGGGGTTAGCGGGGGCGATCGTCCCCCCTTAAAGTTTACACAAATCTTTAATATTAAGTATTATTTCTAAGAAAAAATTTACACTATTTTCGCTACCTTTAAAAAATTTTCTGGCTTAGTCAATGCTAATATCCGTATGCATCAGCATGACATAGTGTTTGTCTCTTCCATCCTCACTTACGGGAACTCTTCATTCACTACGTGCCTCTACATACTGCCTTATAAATTTACTCTATTTTGTATTGCTCCATCTTTTTTGTATATTAACCTAGAAGCAACCTCTCAAGCACATTGCACAATCGTTAATAAAGACCAAATTCGACGCAACAATCAAGTACATTAATGACAGACTAAACACCTTAATTATCATTTAAAAGTTACGTTTGAGATAAATGGAGAGAAGGTTTGATTAGTATATTTTTTGTTTCTCACAAAAGTGGATTACGACTTTGTGGACAAACGTTACCTGCACGTTATTTTTGTCTCTCAAACTTCGTATACGTGAAGGCGGAGAAGTTTTGTAAGTCAATAAGCAAAACTTCGTATACTATAACCCATTTTTTAAAAAATTATATTTTCGTGTCCTCTTTTCTCTCTCCTCTTCAAGAGTTATTAAAAAAAAAAAAAAAACAGTAAGATATGTGTGCAGTATATGCATAATGAGCAATAAACAATATTTTCCACCGTAAGTTACCTCGTTTGTATAATAAAAGATTTTAACTATGGGATAAGATCCGTTTACAATTTTTTTTTTACAAATTACACTAAGTATGACCGGTCGTACACTGCATGATTAAAATATGACCGGTCGTACTTAGTGTAGTTTGTAAGAGTTTGTAAACAAAAAAGTTTATAAATATAACCTACCCCTTTAACTATATACTAACTTTCAAGAGAAAATTCATGTAAACAATCAGTGCCGATGGCGAGTGTTTAGGGCCAATTCTATAAACTCAAGTTGTTTCTTATTTTCTTAAAGTTTCCATTTATTAAATAATGAAATTTTAAACATATAAATACTTTATAACTATTGGGCAAGTGACTTCTTTCAGAGTGGATGCCGATGAACCTAGACAATCTAGTTGAATGAGGTACCATAGTCAATCTAGTTTGTGTTGTAAATAATTGTAATTATTTATTTATTTATTCATTTATTCATTCTAGAACTTAATTCATTAGGTTGTTTACTCTCTTTAAATAGAAACCTCTTAAAACACAATTCAATAATATATTTCACTACCTTTTTCAAGTTGGTATTAGAGCTCTCGATCTTGAGGGCTATGCTTCCGCAACTGACGCCTTTGAATTCTATTTGTTAGCCTCTCGCCATCACCGGAAAAAATTTTCGGGGACCTTTTGGACCAAGAGAACCACTGTTTGACTCCGTTTTTCCAGATCTATCAATCTACGAACGTTTCCAGCAGTGGGTCTTTGCTCTCGTCATAAAAATCGAATCTTTTTGGCCACTCGCGCCTCCTTTGATCAGATCTGATTTTGTTGTTTCTGTTTGGGACATTCAGAGACCTCTACTTGTCATAAAAATTGGATCTTTTTGGCCACTCGTGCCTCCTTTGATTAGGTCTGATTTTTTTTGTTGCTGTCTGAGACATTCAGAGACCTATACTTGTCATAAAAATTAGATTTTTTTGGCCACTCGTACCTCCTTTGATCAGATCTGATTTTTTTTTTTTTTTTTTTGCTGTTGGGGACGTTTAGAGGCTTCTACAACATTGTCTGTTGTTCTGCTGTTTGGGCTCTATGGAGACTTTTTTTTTACTTCATTACCCACTTCTTTTGGGTTGATATCTTTTATTTGTCCATGGGACGTTGGTGCACCTATTGTAAAAGTGTTGGACACACAAGAGACATGTGTTTTCGTCTTCATGGGAAGTGTGATAATGCTACTCCATATGTGAATATTCGGCAAGGGGAGTTGAAGCAACTTAAGGCCGCTATTGATAATCTGTGTAAGTCATCTGATAGTTCTTTGTTCTTGTTTGGTAAGAACACACGTTCTACATCTCTTCTTGATTCTTACACTGATTTTAAAACCTCATGTATTTTAGATTCTGGTGCAACTGATCATATAACTTGTCTTGTTGAGTCTTTTCTTTCTTATCATCTTATTATTGATAGTCATACTATAGCCGTAGCTGATGGATCCCATAAACCAGTTATTGGTTCTGGTAACATTCAAATTCAACCTTCCTTGTTTCTTAAAAATGTTCTTTATGTTCCTCAGCTTTCCATTAATCTTATCTCCACTCAAAAGCTTACAACTGATTTGAATTGTTCTATCACATTTTTCCCTTTTCATTGTGTTATTCAGGATCTTACCACGAGAAAGACAAATGGAGTTGCTGAGGAGCAGGGTAGGTTGCATTATCTTCTTCGAGAACATGCTAAATGATACCAAAAATCAGCTATTGATGACACGTCATCCTTCTACTGCAGAGTCTATGGTTTGTATAACACCTCGCATTTCTAAATCATATAATTATATTAAAATATGGTTTAAAGGGTAGGATTAGTGAAAATCCAGAATTTAGAATCAAAATACATAATAAGGGTAAAATGATAATTCACCAAACACGTAACCCTAGGAAAGAAAATGTGAGTAGAAGGTCTTAAATGGGAAAATTAACACTGAAAATGGATTCAGAACGAAAAATTGAATGGTTAGGCAAGTTTCTAGAAATTTGATGAATAGTGTTTTTACCGGTAAAAATATCGCGGTACAGTTGCACCGTAAAGCGTGCTGAATGAACTGCGAGCTCTAGGTTTGGAAATAAGTTATAAATGGTACATAAGACTAGAAATTATGATTTCTGATAAAAATTGATGGAAATTAGGATTTTTGGGGATGAAAGTTGATGGAAATTAGGATTTTTTGGGATGAAAGTTGATGGAAATTAGGATTTTTTGGGATGAAAGTTGATGGAAATTAGGGTTTTTAGGGAAGCTTGCCCACAACGCGCATAACAGCTTAATACTGTGATTTCACCGAACGACCGAAAAACTATGGATCCATATGACCAAGGACAATTAAAGGACAATGGTTAATGTTAAAAATTAGAGTTTCTAATAGTCTAGGAATTAATGGACGTTTAGTGGAATAAGCGGGAGATTTGAATTAATTTGAATCACGTGAGGTGGCGGTGGGACCCACCCCACTTAAGTGAGCTTAAGACATATAAGCACATTCACTATTCATCATCTTCCACACTCACTCTCTCTCTCTCAAACCCGTGGCTAGCATGCTTGGAAGGGGAGGATTTCTTGTTTGATTTTCTTGATGATTTAGCCACCAAATTCAACAAAATTTGTCATCAAACTTTAAGTAAATCATCTTCCAAACACAACCCACCCATTGGTAGCTCTTGAGACCCCTTAAATTTAGAGAAATCCCACACCCATGGCTGCGGTTTTGTTGAAGAATGTTGGTGTTCTTGGAGTTGATTGATCCTCCAATACTTGAGGATTGCGTGGAGGAGTCCTAGGCCTTGATTGTGGGTAAGTTTCAACACATTTCATTGGTTGATTCATTGGATTTAAATTTGAAGACCTAGAGCTTTCATGTGAGATTGATATGGTTAGAGAGCTCAAATTGAAAATGTGTATTAGATAAAAGTGACTTAGAATGATGTTTTATAGTGATTGTGTAATTGAGTTATGGAAATGTTTGATAACTTAGGCAAATTTTGAGTTGGTATGCATGACTTTGTGAAATTGACATGTTGTAGGATTGTGTAATTAAGTTGCGAAATATTTGTATGAGTTAATTATAGGATTGTATGATGTGTGGAAGTGTTGAATTGAATTGAAAACCCTTGAGTATGAATCCATGTAGATTTCGGCCATGTGAGGGGATATAAGCTTAGATGATGTAAAATTCATGCAATTGGTATTTTGAGGCTTGGAGATAAGTTCAAATAGGATGTGTGTTGGAGTGATTTAGTTGAAATGGAAGAAAAATCATTAGATGTGTGTGTGTGTGTGTGCGCATTTCGGCCATAATGAGGTAAATTAAGGAAAATGGTGTTGTGATGGGATTGAATGGAATTAAGGGCTTGAATTGGTGTTGGGTTGAACTTGTGAAGCCATAGAAACCTTAAAATAAAATTAAGAACATGGTTTGGTATTTATAGGCCATTTAGCCGAACCCATGCATGAGTGGGGGGGATTGTGGTGCTT